CAATGTCCCACTAATCTCAAAAAATCGTTTAACAAGACGCAATTTTAAAAGTTTTATGGAAATGACATAAATTAAGTCAGTCCGAAATAAAATGATACCCTTTCGAACTTCATTTTCATAGATAAATCGATTACCATCTGGAAACAACGGACATTTAACAATTTCTCAAACTTAACCATAGACAAAGGAAAATCAACACTGAGCGAAGAAGGAACTTTCACTGTAACGCAGGCGACACGACCGAAGGTAGGAACAAGAACGCGGTGACTCGGACAAACAATCAACCTCCACTGGAAAAGGGTTACCATTGGACTATCTTCATCTTTAAAGCCTTCCACTTCACGAACAACTCTACAAAGCCCTTCAAAGGAAATATCCTTCGAAAAATGAAAGTAGTTACGAAATCCGTATTACAAAACAGTGAACGAAAGCTTTGTTAGTTGAGCAGACCTACGGTGTAAATATTTGACGGAAAAATTATCAGATAATCGGACTTCGCGATAAAACTCGACACATCCAAGATATTTCAAGGGAAACAGAAAATTTCCGCACTTTTGTGGCCAAACTGTTCAAGTATGTTCCAAACAGACCAAACAACGACCACCCAAGGGAAAACAAAAAAGGCCTCGACTGAAGACAAGGAAAGAGGTTCAGTTGGTGACATCCGATAACAGCAGAATAGCAAAAATTTCAAGTTCCACATGGACACCTAGCAGAAAACAATCGACAAGATCTAAGCAGACAACCCCGAAAACAGATTAATTAGCTTTCAACGAGTCAACATGTTTACTCTCAGACACAACCAATAATAGCGAGTCGGAAAGGGTACCCGGAATTCATCAGGCATTATCAGGCGGCATCAAACCGGTCGACAATCAATCTAGTTCCGACCCGATTATCGGGACATCGATTAACTTCCCTGTCACGAGATGGTAGAAACTTCAGATGAAGCAGCGAATACCACGGGTAACATCTTCGTAGACCAGGACGGAACACAAGTCCCCCAAAGTTTCATGATCAATGATTGTTTATAGATGAAGATACCATAGCCAAATCACTGGCGCTGCTATAGACCCAATCAATTGAAGCAGGACCTCACCTTCAGAATCCTTTCGCACGTCATCAACACCAATTTCAGCGGATGAATCCGAAGTTGAAATGAACTCGGACGACATTACAGAGAAAATAGCAGTAAAATAAGTCGATCACAACATTCTTCTTAACAGCAAAATTCAAATTAAACTGATACTAAAATAAGGTAACAGCAACTTTTCCCCGTCCAACTGAGGAAAGAAAAAGGTCTTTAACAGGAAAACAAAATACCCGGCGTAACTAATTTACAGAACAGCACTGTAAAGCATCAAAGGTAAGATAATCGAGGATAAATTGATATTTTAAAATATTCTGATTCTTGAACTTTCTAATTTTTATTGAAGATTTCACTATCCAAATCGACTGTATCGACGAAATTGTCCACGTGCATCATTCACATTGATTACTCAGCTGAGGAGAGGGAGAACTTTAAAACTTTTACTTCCTACTTAAAACTTTCTTTTCTTAGATGAACCTAGTTATTCGTGCCATAACCATTTAGTTGCTATGAACTTCTAACCATAATATTTCCTTAATGACTATTGGTTATGTTAATTTTCTTATATTCCATTGGAGTAGCAGCGCTAATACCTCTAACCTTGTTTAACTGCTTATAATTTACACATCAATTCATCCACGATTATCATACCTTCGGTACTTTAAAGTGATGTACTGAAACTTAGTAACGCAGGTTAATGAGTCTTCCTTTAACAAAAAACTTCTGCCCTCAGCCGGACGGGGAGAAGGAGCAGTTACCTTAATTTAGTATTAGTTTAATTTAAATTTTTCTTGCCAAGAGAAAAGTTGGGAACGAATTATTTGACTGTAAATTAATCTTATATGATTTGAGAGGTACATCTCATTCTGACCTCGATCGTTTATTCTCTCCGATGGCGAGAACTTTTCTTTCACTTCTTAATGTTTTAACGTCGAGGTGAATTCACTCTTTGCTTTTTAAATTCTTTTAAATATTATAAATACGTGGAATTAGCTATTAAAAAGGATCTTACCATCATAAATTTAATCACTACCGGGTCACAAAAGACCAAACAATTTTAAATAATTTTGATACAGAGGCAAAGCTGCGCTTTGCAAAGACAAGCGAGGAAAATGGTAAAAAGAGCTCTAAGCAGGCAAACTAATGAAATAAGGAAAAGACTGAAAATACACAATGAAAAAAAAATTGATGAGATTAGGAGTATCACATTCTCACATCTGTTTAACGACTGCTTATAATTTCACTAACACTAGCCACCAATAAAGCAGCTACAGATTCTAACAAATTGCCAATGTTACGCAGCTAAATTCGACCAAAAAGAACTATTTACACGATCTGGATTTGAATATCTGACCTGTTGATTAGAAGTCTCGCGCCCTCACATCTGCGCCACGCTCGCTTGGAAGCAAACAAAAGGCCCAGCTACTGGTGGACCTAACTCTTATAAGTTTTTAAAAATATAGTACTGATCAGGAAAAAATTAATTTTCAAAATTTCAAAAAAATAGACTTTACGCTAATCTTTAGTTTTTCTCTGCTAAATAGGGGTTTATTCGCATATTGAAAGGATAAAACTACTACTCAATCTACCAATTGGAGAAAAACTACAAATCTCAGACTTGACAGAATAGTTTTCGAAAAAGAAGTTAAAAAGGTTCCAAAATTTGATAAAAAATTTGACTTTTCCTGTTTTCAGATTGAAGATTTCCGCACCCTGATTCTTTAGCATAAACTCTTTATATCAAATTTAGCTAGTAGTTTTCGAGAATAGTGACGAAATTTCTGAAAAAAACGGTCAAAATTTTCATAGTCCATAAGTTTTTCTTGAAAAAACTGTAAAACAGATTACGCCGGGAAAATCCAAGCACAATGTTACTTTTAATCAACAACCAACCTCAGTATCAGCAGCTTAATTTTGAAAAAATAATTTGCCAATAACGCTCGAAATTTCAAAAACTGGACATTTTCAAAGGCCATATATTTTTTAATGCAGGTCATAGCCGCATGCGCAGCTAAGAATCGCATAAATGATTTTTTTCTTTCGGTTAAAGCCTTAGTCTCCGATTTGGCAGGGTAACTTTTGAGACAAGTCAAAAAGTTTACAAAATCAACCAAAATGTCAAAAAAGCGCTTGTTTGAAGCCATAACTTCTTTCTATCGAATTCTGGGTGTAATCGCTTAAAAAGGGGAGATCACCAAATTCTATTCTTTTGATTGAAATTTAATCTCAGGTTTATGATAACCTCAGATTTATTCTCTCAGATTTATACTTTTGATAATCTCAGGTTTATGCATTTAATATCCGAGAAAATGAATAAAATCGAAACAATTAGGCCAAAATCCCCCTGATTAAATTTTGAAGGCCGTAGAACTTGAGTTAAAATGAAAAGAGACTAGCGAAACATGCGGGCACATAGACGAGCAGCCGGTGATTCCAATTGTACTACAATTTGAAAATCAGTACAGTAGTTTTGGAGAAAAACTGAAATTTCGGCGAAAAGTGCAAACATTTTCCAAAAGCGTCGCAATATAAACGAAAAACAAAAAACCCAATGCATTTTCAGAATGTTTTTTTTTCGCCTAAAATAAAGTAGCAACAAATGTCACTTAACTGTTTGTGCTTAAATAAACTTAATTATAATTAAACTGAAATATACCAAAAGTGCCACCAAATCAGCGCTTTTATTTGCGACTTAGGTTTAAAAAATTCTTCGTATTAAAACACTACGCTTCGATGGTGTAATTAAGAAAGTAAAACACGAAAAAAATTTTCAGGTGCCATTTTCTGAACAATGTTCTCTGCGGGAAAAGTCTCGTATGCGGTTGCAACACCCTTGCAAGGGCAATGAAGAAACACGTAGAAAGTCAAGATCGAAAAAGATGAGATAAAATTCTGTTGATTTAAATTAAAAATGTTGTTGAAAAGGCATTCATTGGTGAAGCACTAAACAAATTCCAGTAAAAACAGATTAAGGAGGCAGATCATCCATTTATCCTTGTAATCCAGTCTGAGAAACGGAAATCTCAAACCCGGTTTTTGTCGACACTAAGAATTCTCTTAAAATTGCGACTAACTATACGAAGTTTCCTCGAGTTACCTGAAATCGGGCTCGAAATCAATCCTTCAACATAGTTCTTTCGAGTCACTGAAATCGCTCAAACTATTTATGCATCTAGTTGCTTATCTCCTTTATTCTGTCTTCAGATGCTGAGATGAATACCTAATTAAGTGCTATTTCATTTGTGTAAGAAGTTTTGTTTATTCCCTAGGTTCAGATTTTTGGATCCGACTCTTGGTCGCCGCCTCTTAGATGGAGAAAATGGGATAAACTCTTGCTATTTTAACAGCCTAGGTTATCAAAAATTTTGCGGGTGGTATGCAAACTAGTATTTACTTCGATTACCTCAGCAATTCATAAATTACCTAATTTAACTATTGGATTGATTGATTCGTTGTAACGTGCGTTTTGTAATTTTCTCAACCTTTGACTTGTACATCAGTTGTCTAAAAATGACCCACTAATGAATTTTTTTACCAATTGGAAAAGTGATTCGACGCATTGAAATATGATTTTATCTGCATCGAGCAATTTTCAATAAGTTACTGCATTCAGAGGAGATCATTTCCAAAACACTGGAACAAGAACTCGCGATGGGCGGATCAAGATTTTACGAAACCGGGAGAAGTTTCAAAAGAAGAGACTGTAAAAACCTGTTTTTTTAAAAACACTAATCAAGTCTTTTTTTTAAATACAATCGATTAAATGATTTTTTATGATCACCAAGTATTGACATTAGTTCCTTTTGGTCATTAGAGGGCATCTCTTCTGAGATGAAATAACATCAGCAATTTTAAATCCGCTACAGTCAGATCTTTTTACCATTGAACTGATGGTTACTTAAGATAAAAATTACGACGCATCAGAAGTTAATTATTATACTAAAATAAAATCAACAAAGATTTAAAACCCTTAGGCCAATTTGTTGTTTTCATAAAACTTATGACAATCTAGGATCAGTCGGCAGATAGAAATACTCTTCGAGTATTTTCGCTGTCTCTTTATCAACCACACCCTCGTACCTCTCCGAACCCTCCCCACCTTGATCAAACTCATCCTCCATCCGTCCCTCCAGCGAGGGGGGCTTGTCACTGTTATATGACAACGTCACACTTTCTGCATCTTCTTGGAATGTAACTTTTCCTCGTTCTTTTGTGACCGACCTTGAAATTGGTCCACTCGGCGGGATGTCAGGAAGGGGTGCTGGGGTCGGCAGGTAGTACCTCGGATCGTCAGTCTTGTACAACACCTCTGCATGTTTTAGCTTCAAAACATACCGCTTCATTGAGCTTCGTGTCTGGACTTCTTCGCGAATCGCTTGATTCGAATCTTGCAGAATTTGTAGACGTTTAGCCCATGATTTTTCGCTGTATTCCAGTTCTTTTTGAGCTCGTTCCAATTGTGTTTTGAGCATCCGCTCTGATTTTTTGAACTTACTCAGAGCAGCAGCATGTTGTTTATCTCTCGCTTCCAGCTGCATTTTGAATACATGCGCCATTTCTTCTTTCTCTTTCCGCAACTTTTCCAGCTCTTCTTTTTCTTGTTTCATTTTTGCTTCGAATTCTCTCTCTAATTTTTCTCTCACTTTTTGTTTCACTTTCTCAATTTGTTCAGCCTTTTCTTTTTCAAAATCAGCCTGAAGCTTCTCGATAGTAGCTCGCATATTTTCTTTCTCGCGTTCAATTTCCGCCTTCATTTCTTCAATTTTCTCCTCCAAGCCCTGTTTTTTTGTCAACAAATTGTTGATCTTTTCAGTCTGCTGATCGATTGTAGCCTTCAGTGCCTCTGTGTTTCCAGCCGAGCGACTTAACTGGTCTTCTAGCTCTCGGATTTTGTCGCGTTCTTTTGCCAGTTGGTCTTCCAACTTGTCAATGTCCTCTTGACTTATTTTCGGCTCATTTGCCTGTTGTTCTAAAAGACGCCTCAGCTCCGCGTTCTCCTGGTTTAACATTTCGATGTCCTCTTTTAGATCCTTAATTTCTTTTTCCAAAGTTTCAACTTGTAGTTTCATTTCCAGTAACTTATCCTTGCCTGCCTGTTTTTTCTTCTCTTCTTTTGGCTTCGGTTGGTTCAGCATTCCGTGCGCACTTTGAGATATCAAAGCGTCCGTTAACTGCTGTTTGAAACTCCTTCTAATAATTGATACTTTCTCCTCGTGGATCGCCTCTAGCTCCGAGACTTTCTCATTGCAACGCAGATACAACTCATCCGCTTTCTCTTTGAGTCGAGAGGCATACTCGGCTTCGAGAGACTGCCGGGAGAGGATGAGTTCACGCTTGAGGAAGCGAGAGTCTTTCACCAGTTGCATGATGACAGCTGTCATCTGCTGGAGGTCACTGATTTCGGTGACCTCAGTTTGGGATGAGGCATCTCTCCCGAAGAAATTCTTGACCTGGTCATCGGCGATTGAAAGGGAGAAAAAGTTCACATTGTTCCGTTTGTATTCGCGGGGAATAACCTCCATTTTATACTTTGTGAGCTAAATGATCTCTCTACTGTGATCACGTCCAATCCAAAAATTGCATAAAAGCGATAACTATGCGAAGTCCTATTCAATTTGTTCTGTTCAAATTACAGATCAAATAATTCATGAAAAATTAATTCACGCACGTTATACGTTTTTCAGTTGAACTACAAAAAAACTGCTTTGAATTTAATTTTACTAACGCATAATGCTTGTTTTATTTTTTTTAGTTCGTGTTCAATTGTTTTAACTTGTTTACTGCAGTAAAATTCAATTCATCGTTTTAATAGTTTGATAAGAAAACGCAACCATCAAATCCAGCAACAGTATAAAGACAAAACGACCCTTTCAAAGATCAGAACGATTGTTTTCCTTTGCGATTCCATTCGAGGCTTCAGTTTCATTCGATACGTGAATAAATTTGACGACTTTGTTGTTCAGTCGTCTTGACCGAACAACAAATGCAGAATACGTTGAAACACAGGAGCCAAGAAAAACATCTGCTTGCTCCATCAAATACAAATCACCAAACTCTGTACTAGCAGGATTCAAATAAATTTTAAAATTTGAATATTTTTCTCGTAATATTGCGTAAATTTGCTTCTGAACAAAATAGTACGAATCCGTGGCCAAATAAACAGCTCTAATATGATCAAAACTTTTCAAATTTTGATAGATATTATTCAAAATTGTGTTAGCACTAGGCACGCAGTTTTCTTCAATCGGTGGAATGTTTTCGTCAGCGCACTGTTTGAAAGCAAAAATACCAGGGTTGTCTTTGATTCGCGCGCAAGATTTCGCCATGTCGGATGCCACTCGTATATGCACTGCAAGATACGGCCTTTGCGGTACTTTTTCGGCCATTTTCAGTTTGAAAAGCTCTGCCCACGAAAGGTGTGATTGGTACTGGTATTCTGTCTTGAGAGGAGGACTGCTACCTTTAACAACAACTGAATCTTGATTAGTAAAAAGTGTACTCATTAAGCAAGTTACATTGAAGTTTTCTGAAACTTGCAACAATAGCTTAAATGATGTTTATTATAATATTTTGCATTTTTTTGCCAGCACCAAAGAAAAAGTTTTATTTTTTTACTGCAGCTTTCTATACAACCTTTCTAATTTCAGAAAATTAAATTTTGTGTCCTCCACAAGATCAGTAACTCACTTTAGTCTTACAGCAAAGACTTTAATAAAGCATCCAGTGTATTTAAATACAACGAGTCTTTCCCGATGAACAAAAACCCAAAAACTTGACTCTTTTGACCGATTCTGCAAACAGTCTGCTGACAAGGTGGCGTCCAGGATAAGAGTCTTGAAAACTTAAGCATTTTCAAACTGGGGTTAATCCAAGGAAACTTTACTTTTAACTGACAAAGCCCTCATTAGACCCATAGTAGATTACGCCTGCAAATCACCCAAAATCAAATTCTCCGCGTTAGAACGGATTCCACCCTCATGAGTTCCACTGCATTTCTGCACAGTGAAGCTGAAAAAGTAACCGTCAAAAACCACACTCTTTTAATTTCCCAGTTTTTATATCTATACTTACCGTTCCCATCACCCCAACAGTTTTTTCCACACTCACCCCTTTCCCCTCGCCAAATACGTTTTTCAGTACTGAACTGCTCTTAAAAAGAAACCACTGAATTTCTTTGTAACTACTTGTTAAACGAAACCCTACCCCGTAAATTTTCAAAACCGAGACGAAGTCTCCTTCTTTGTTTTTAAATTTTGTTTTACTTTAAAATTTAGCTATAAAAAAAAACAAGTAACCAAGTTCCCTACTGAAACCCCCCTCTAAAATTTTGTTTTGTATCCCTCTAACCAAAATAGACCGCTCAGAACACTCCCTCTCCAGAATACGCACTCTAAGCTCTCCCAACTCCGAAAGAATATAGCCGGCTCTTATAAACTTAAGTTTCCCGACGAGACAACTCCCTTTCCCCTCGATGCCCAACCTGCTCCCTTGCACCCCACACTACTTTCTACCTTTTCAAATTTCCCCATAACACCTTCCTACTTAACACTGCAGACCTGTGGCTTCGGCCGGCGGATGTCGCAAAGTTCCTAGACCTGTAGATGGACGAGCATAACCCGAACCCAGGCTGAAACAACAACAAGAACAACAGCATGACCGAATGAAACTCCATACCCCGTTTAACCAAGAAATTGTTTCCAGAGCGGTTCAAATTTCTTTTGACTCGAAGGATAACCTTTTCGCAATGTAGATGAACATGCATTCAAAAAATTAATCTCAAGCCCCCTGTAAATTGCTCTTACTGCTGTTATTTTATCAACCTGAAGAAGTTGCCAGCTTTTACTCAGAGCAGGGTCCAAATGTAAGCAGCTTGGCTCAGGCACCTTCTTTCAGTTGTCTTGTAAATACCACTGTGAGTTATTTTCTTTGCACCAACCACTCGCTTGCGTTTAAAAAGAACTCTATACAAAACTTGCACATCAAAATGTTGTCCAGATTTGACAGTGGTGGCCTTAAAATAGATCAAATTCCAATAGTGCACTCGTAGGATAACTTTTAAGGTTTGGTAAACCAAAGTATGACAACTAAGCTTGCAGAGATTACGCCAAAAATCTTGAGCCAAAAAACCATCCGCATAAACACTTTTTACTTGGTGAAAAAGCCCTGCTCTTACTCATATTTCCACTTATTAACAGCCCACAAATTATTAGTCATCCAGTAAATTTTCATCTGGGAGCAAGTTGCCTTTCAAAGAAATTAATTCCTCTTGTTCGCAAAGATGAGAACGAAAGAAAGAATTGACTTCTTCAGACATACAAATACATTTACAAAAAAATCAAACAAAATAAGCAAATAATTTTTTGATAAACGTACGTATTATCTGAACAGGATAGACGAAGGGCAAATTAGATGCCCACTAGATGTCATACACTGAGTGAGACATAGAACGTTAATGTGTAAAGATAGATAATTATTAAAGCAGCGTTTAGTTTTTTGTAAATATTTGGAAAATTTCAAAATTTATACAAAAATGGCGTTTTCTCGAAAACTAGCAATTTCTGGAAGGTCATATTTTTAGAATAGAATCAGAACCTCAGATGAGTTTCTGGTAGCATCCAGATTAAGCACCTATTTTTTAAAAGAAAAACAATCTATTTTCTTATTTTTTAAGTATTTGTAAAATTTCAAAATTTACCAGTTCAGTGGTTTGAAAATTTTTTTAAAGTTGATACTGTGGTTTTTTAAGCCCGAACATTAAAGATGAAAAATTGGATGCATTTTCGGTGATATCGTTTGTGTTTTTGTTCTCAGATTTCATTTTTGAGCCGACAATTTCAAGAAAAAAACAGCTTCTTTATTTGTGTAATCTGAACTGAAATTAGAACCAAGAAAAAACTAAAAATTTTCATGAAATTTTAACTGGAGCTTGAAGTAAAGAGTAGTTCAAAAATACAGAACAATATGCAACACATTTTTTACGTACACAAAAAATGACGTTTAAATCTATATTTTATAGCATTTGGACTCTTTTCGAACCTAATCAGAAAATGAAAACGGCGGTTTTTTTTGTGACCCCTACCAGCCATGATCTTTTCCTGTTTTATGAGTTATTACCTTCTCAGATACGGCACGGATAAGCAATAATATAATCAGGACTCTGCTTTCACTTTTTCAATATCGTCATCTTAGCATTGTACAAGATTTCAAAAAGAACTAATTGATTTCTCAATATCCGTCACCATCTATTCAAAATGCGAGTATGATTCTGTCTTTGGTTACTGTAAAAGATAATTAAAGATTCGAGATTGAAAAAACTGCTCCACCCATTCGTAACCTAATTAGTGAACCAAATGAAATACAAAATGCTAAGTAGGAGATCTCCAGCAGTTTAGCCTATTGGTTTGCCATGAGAATCGCGATAGCTTTCTATACTAAATTACTTGTTTTTGTAATTGCTCAAGTATAAAAGGTATTCCGTGATTAGTTTAGTCAATTTATATTGCTACCTTACCGCAAGCACTCAGTCGAGAAGAACCGCTCTTAACATCATGTACCGAATAATTTTTCTAAAAGAAAAAAGTAAAAATTTCATAAACTTTTAAACCATTTGTGATCAACGCGCATTTTTCATACGTTTAAGAGAGAAAATTTAAAATGGTCAAAAGTTGAACCAAAAAACCGATTGTCATCACTAAAAAAATCTGATGAGATCAAAAACTGTCAGAAAATGCTTTCGGCATTTAAAACAATTTTCAAGCATTTCTTCATAAAACAATATCATTAAATTTGTAGTTAGATTAGTTTGAGGTAAATTTGTCGGGTGATCAGAAATTGCTAGTGGTTTTAATCTTTTTTTTCCTAATTATTATAAGGTAATATGAAGAAGAAGTTAATTTGAAGAAGTTCATGATAATGAATCATACTCTAAATTCAAATTTTTCTGATCGCAATTAGGAATAAGGAACTTCTTAAACTTTATTGGAAACAGCAATCAATTTTCTTATCCCCTTTATAATACACTCGTACATGAAATGAAAGCATAATAACGTCAGTTTTGATGGGTAAATCTACGATTAAAGCATTAACAACCACCGGCTTAAATAGGAACTCTCTTACTTTTTAATATTTTTATCGAAATTGGATGTAAATCAAATCGCCGTGATCCTACGTATCGTATGAATTTTTAATTTGATATTTTAACTCTTTTTGAAAAGCCTTATATCTGTCGATATCGTCAAGAGCGGTTCATTAAGATAATAGAAGGAAAAACTTCAGTATTGACGAGAAAAATGTCCGGTTCAAGAGGTTTGCAAATGAATTCCGCCGCTTTGCTTTTGCTTACGATAACTTTGTTTATCGCTCTTTTCACCTCTTCGACGAATGCAATAAGAGTGCAGGCGTGGGAGACGAAAAGATCTGCCGGCCCATACCAACTCTTAACAACAGGTAACTTCTACTTTTTTCAAAGGCTCAGGTCTCACACACGGCGGATTTAGAGGGGTTGCACCGGGGCTCACTCTCCTCAGAATTGGGACTATTTTACTATACAAGTGTCTCTTCTATTTGGTACTATTCTACCACATACAGTTTTAATCGACCTTAATTTAGATTTTTAAATTCGTATACTTAAAAATTTAAGAAAGGGCGTGTATCAAAGTAGCAATTTTTGTATAAACCTTTCAAAAATTCCCGATAAAAAACACTGTTGGGCACAATCAAAAAACATTTTTTATGTGACGCAAAATAAATTGGATAAACAAAACATCGCTGGTGTTTTCAGAGAGACCGCATAAACAATGCAAGCAAACTAGAAAAAAGAAAGGCAGTTAAAAAATTAAAACTACCCCATTAAAACGTAAATAAACTATTTAAGTTCATAGGCCTCATTTACTTTTTCTTTCATCATTCACTTTTTCAATACACTAGTTATCTGAACTTACGGGGCCTATGAAACCAGAAGACGATAAGCAAATTAGACGGATGCTACAAAAACAAAATTAGACGAAATATATTTTTTACAGATCTGGCATTTGAGACGAAAAAGCTATGAAAAAGAAAGGGGCAACAAAAATTTCATAGGAATAAGGAACTCGAAGCAAGTTTCACAAAAACAAAAAGAACATAAAATGTCAATACCTATCAAAACAATTAGTTTAAATGAACATTAAATGTCAAATCCGTGTATTACAGGAAAGTTTTGAATTTACAGGAAAATTTTTGGCCACCGAAATTTAACTGTTGTCTGCAAACAATTTTAATCTCTCTCACTTCCGTCTATTTTCTCTCAATTGCAGTTTTGCAAAATCGTCTAATTTCCTTTTAAGTACCTCTGTCTAATTTGCTGATCGTCTAATTTCTCAACCCCCTACTATTACATGCATATCGATTTCAGAAAATATACAATTCGAAACGGCGTATCGCATCACTAGCGATAGAGCACAAAATTAAAACAGTGGTTCGCCGAAAACAAAAAGGACGAAAGCCACTGAGTCGAAAAAAACTCGAATAATTATTTTTACGTTTGTCTCGAATAAGGTTCATTATCGGGAAACGTTGAGATAAACACAATAACCAGTTCTAAAAAGTTTTGAAAAACAAATTTATCAAGCAGTAAGTAAGCAGACAATACTTAAGTAGACGATCGTTAAAAAACAAACACAGTTTTACGTCCTTCTCACTCCCGAAGCACAAATGAATTAAAAAAAATAGCCAACAGACAGTTAGGAAAGATTCAATAAACGCAAGTTAAAACAACAATTTTTTTAATGGAAGAATCTCAACTTTCGATTTTCAAAACAAACAACAGATAGCCTTGAAGCTCTTTGAATTTCTGGTACAATTTATGATTCAGATTTTTTGATAATGTTCACTTAACTTCAGAAAACTGGATCAATAGGTACATTTTTTTCGCTGGGAAATCTGATAATAAAATATCGTTTTCGAAATAAGAAGTCAATCACGTTGTTCGAGACCCTTTTACTTTCGCTGTTCGATAGTGGAGTTTGCCTTCCTTTTAAGAAACGACAGCAAATGCACTTAAAAAAATCAAAAATCAGACCGCGAAAAAGTAAAATTGAGCCTTAACAAAATTTAAAACTTTTCCTGAAAAAAAAAAACGAAAAAAAAAATCACCGCAACCTATACAAGATCGAAATTACGTTATAAAAAATATGTCCTTCAAAAGACGCATTATGAGGCAACTAAACAGATATAACCTCAACCGAAACCATTTTATACCGAAGAAACATTAAAGCGAAAAATAATAAGCTAAATAATGAAAAAAACTCAGAGATAGTTTACGAACAGAACACCTATTTAAAATGCAGACACGTGCAAAAGATATCTGTGTGCCAGACATTTGCTGAGAACAGACATGCCAACTAGCGGCCCAAATGATTCAAACCATTACGTTAAACTAGTGGTCTAGATTCTAATGTGATAACGCTTACTAATTGCAAGCGCAATTAAAATACTTCAACGTTTTTGTATATTGTTTTGTTACCGAAAAATTTTAACTGATTTCCAATTTTTAAAAAAGCCAAAAAGACTTCGTAGCATAACGCCGCGTTACGATAATAACCAGAGTTTACGCCCATACCTTTACTTTAGCTTGCATAGAGATTACTTGAACAGCTTGGTCCAAAAAGTACCACAACGCTTAAATGCAAACTAGGGTAATTCGCATCTACGGCCGATTGTTTGTTCAACCTGCAAAAAAGCGTCCACCAACGCTGGAAGGCTGTGACTCTAAATTATTTATTTCTGAAAAAAACTCGAACAAACTTTTGTAAGAGCTCACGTCTCCTAAAACATTGAGCTCTGGGTCTCACGTCTTCTGGAGCTTTGCTTTTTAATGGGAGCTCATTAAGCAAGCCTAAGGCGGAGGCTGGTGGCATCTAACAAAACTTTCCATTTGATGTAGGTTCCCGATTTTGAATAATAACTTGAGTAATTTGATAGCAAAAACTTTATTTTCAATTTTTTAATAACACGCACCAGTTTTTAAATCAGTCTAACATAATATAAAAAGCGGTCTCGAACTTTATTGAATATCGAAAAAGAAAGATCTATTTTTTAGTTTCTGATTATGATTGAAAACAAAAATATCGTTCTCTTCAAAAGATTATTTATTATAACAACGTAACAGTTGCTTATTTTGCAAACAACTATAAAAATGAACTATAAACAAAACACCTAGTAATGCATGTAACAGTAGATAGATGGCTAGAGTTATATAGTTAGATAGATGGAAAGATAGATAGATAGATGAATAAATAGATAGATAGAAAGATAGATAGACATATAGATACTTCGATAGATAAATACATAGATGGGTACGATAAGCACAACGTATCAATTTAGCAATTGAATTGAAAAAAAAACAGCAAAACATAACCCTGATTTTAAAATTTGTTGTTTAAAAAAACAATCACTTAAATAAATACATGGGACTGAAAAATTGGTTCAAAGACTGCGGAATAAAATCAAACAACCTCTTGAGTACCATGTGCCTATTCTTACCGCCTGAGCTTACGATGACATTTACCGTAATCGGGTTTTCAATACAGCAATCGCTGTTAACAGGAATGTGTGTGCTTTTCTTAACGCCTAATAAATTGCTAGCAAAATTTTGGATTTCACAGTGAAATGTCCAACTGTCAAATCAAAGTCCATGAATTCCGCTGTTAATTCTATCGAATTTATTTATCAAACACTTGCAACCAAAAACTACTCCGCCTTTTTTGTGACAAGTCAATTTGTATTTTCAAGAAGCCTCAACATATCCTTGAGCAAATCATAAAATAAACTTGCTTGAAGAAACTGTATTCACTCACAAAACCTATACATAAAAATAGTTTAATTACTTTTTACAACTAGAAGATAAGAAAAGATAAACGGAAAATTTATGCTTGGGAAGTTTATGTTTATTCAGTCAAATTTTGGCGATCAAAATAAGTTTTGAACCAAAAAAAATCATACCCTTATGAAGATATCAACTTCCAGAAATCAAATGTTAAAAGATATTTTATCTCCGATATAGTTTACGAACAGAACAGCTATTTAAAATGAAGACAAGTGCAAAGATATCTGTGTGCCAGACATTTCCTGAGAACAGATATGCCAACTACCGGCCCAAATGATTCAAACCATTACGTTAATTTAGTGGTCTAGATTCTAATGTGATAACGCTTACTAATTGCAAGCGCAATTAAAATACTTCAACGTTTTTGTATATTGTTTTGTTACTGAAAAATTTTAAACTGATTTCCAAGTTTTAAAAAAGCAAAAAAGACTTCGTAGCATAACGCCGCGTTACGATAATGACCAGAGTACGCCCATACCTTAACTTTCGCTTGCATAGAGATTACTTGAACAGCTTGGTCCAAACAGTACCACCACGCTTAAATGCAAACTAGGGTCATTCGCATCTACGGCCGATTGTTCAACCTGCAAAAAAGCGTCCACCAACGCTGGAAGGCTGCGACTCTAAAACTATTTATTTCTGAAAAAACTGCAACAAACTTTTGTAAGAGCTCACGTATCCTAAAACATTGAGCTCTGGGTCTCACGTCTTCTGGAGCTCTCATTGAGCAAATCATAAAATAAACTTGCTTGAAGAAACTGTATTCACTCACAAAACCTATACATAAAATTTGTTAAATTACTTTTTACAACAAGAAGATAAGAGAAGATAAACGGAAAATTTTTGCTTGGGAAGTTTATGTTTATTCAGTCATATTTTGGCGATCAAAATAAGTTTTGAACCAAAAAAAAAATACCCTATTGAAGATATCAACTTCCTGAAATCAAATGTTAAAAGATATTTCACCTCCGAACATTTATTGCAAAGCTCTGAGAGTTTGAAAACTGGCCATGCTCTGGACTAATTTATGCGCGCTTCAAAGAGTTTATTTATAATGCTGAAAGCGTAATGCGAATTAGTTATTTATGCGTGGCTAAATCTTCCGCACAACGGCATCGCTCCAAATTGAATTGAGGCTAGCTTATCGGTCGTATTAATCAAATTGATATGTTGCTCTTCTTTCGTTTCTTTGCCTTTTTAGATTTTCGATACCCTCTTCCACATGGTATAGATAGTGTCTTGGTTTGTTTCCTGGAGTACTGTTGAGAAAAAGATCCAATTCTTTTTCCTTCATTTTCCCTTTTTATTCAGTTAAGTTAACTCATTAACTGATACGTGATCAAATGATAGTTGATATTTCATATTATTCAATTTGATAGCTCAACAAGATTTCTCGTATATCAGGGCGAGCCTGCACGTAAAGCCAATTAAAAAGATTTTTTCTACTCAATTGTTTGACTTAATTTAAAATTTTTTAGACCATATCAGGTACACGTCAGGTATTTGACGCTATACAAAAATCAATTATGTTGGTTCAGCCGCAAGATCTATAATAGAAAAGATTACAGAAATTGGATCAAGTTAACATCCCCAACCCCAAATAGATCAAGTTAAGATCCTCCACCCCAGCGCTTGATATAAATTAAATTTGCTAAGCGCTGCATGTAAAATGCTCGATTCTGATTGGCTGAAAATTCCCAACTTAGAACCAAGAAAACATCCTCCCCCCTAAACGTGTTAAGGGTTGAGGATGTTAACTTGGTCCCAGAAATTTTGTAAATTTATTCGCAGAATTAATCAAGCTCTACTCAATAGTGAGCTCAGGCATTGGAGAAAAATTCAAATACTGACCCGCCGCGATATTGTTATGCTGCAATTTTGTCTCTATTTTTGTTTGTTCTTTTTATGCCAAGTACAATTTCATTTATAACTTATAACGGAATTATTTCAGTTTTTTGCTAGCCCGCGTTTTGCTCTTAGCTAAAACACCATTCAGTCTACGTTTTCCTCTGAGCTGAAAAAAGTGCGACTCAGCGGCGTTATATATCTAAGGTGAAGGTTCAACGTGCCGAAGTGTCAGTTCGCCAAAAAGGCGGGAAATTTTGTTTCTTTTGTCATTTGAGGTTATAATTTATCTTCAGAACAATTAACAGGGGTATGTAGAAAATGAGCATTGTAAAGTGACTTAAGCAGCAAAACAGCCAGCGACAGGTGAACGGAAAAATAAAACATCAAACGAGCAGCAATGCCTTAGCGCTTTAAAAGATCCAGCCAATTAAATCAAAAAATATTTTCGGCAAACTGACACACTTGATAATTTCGGCAAACTGGCCTTTCGGCACGTTGACATGCCACCATATCTAAGATATCCTTAAAGCGACTTCTGAATGAATTTTGCAACAAGACAAACCACGGCATCGGAACGTAAAATTCTAATCAAAATATTCTACCTATACCAATTTGAGACCAAATAACATGCTAAACTAACTCAATGGAAGACGATAATGCGAACTTTTTAAAGTAGCGTTGGATTCCGAGACCTTAAATATGTGACTTCCGAATGCTAACAGTTCATCTAGATGGACTTGCAGGAAAATATATTCGTGATTTTCATACAGGGAACGAAAACTTCGTCAGACAAGCTTTTCATAAGATGAAGTAAACTGCCCCCTTAGAAGAGCTAAAATTAGTTAATAGTTATGATGCATTTTTACCGTGGCCGATGGCTTAGTCACCAGCCTGCCATCACCGGGTTTGTAGAGCCCTTAACAATACGACACTTTGTCATCGCTTTCAGTAGAAGTCGCATAACGTGATCCATTTTCACAATCAATTAACGGTTCTAATTGAAAGCCGCAAAGACAAAGAACATCACCCCTTTCATTCATTACGACAAAACTGTCAACTTTATTTATAATATTAAACACAGAAGCGAAGCTGCGCTTCGCAAAGCGAGGAAAATGCAAAAAAGACCTCTGATTACGTAAAACAAAAAGAAATCAGATAAGAAAAGATGAAAAAAATACACCTTGGGAAAATCTTTTAGCTGAAATGAGGAGTAACACGTTCTCACAACTGCTCCACGACCACTTGTAATTTTCTTACACTAGTTACCAATAAAGCAGCTGCAGCTTTTTATAAAATTACTAATGCCATTCAGCAAAAATGCGACCAAAAAAACTATTTCAATGTTCGGATTTGAACCTCCCACCTGTTGATTAGGAGTCTCACGTCCTCACATTTGCGCCAAGGTCGCTTGGAGGTAAACTAGTGGCCCAGCTGGTGCTGGATGCACCTGTTTTACTATTTTAATTTTTGATAGTATTGATACCGAAATGCGTTATTTTCAAAGTTTTAAAAAAATGGTTTTTACGCAAAACCCTAGTGATTTGCAAAAAATTGGACTTAAAGGAGAAAAATATTACTCGTTCTTTCAATTGAATTCTTTATCTCAGATTTGGCTGGGTAGTTTTCGAAAAATTGAAAAAAGATTCCAAGAAACGATCAAATATTGTAAAATTTGACTTTTCCTAAATCCATTAAATAAATCCATGAAACCGTAAATCCATTTTCCTAAATCCAAGAAACGGTAAAAATTTCAAAAATGGGTTTTTGCGCTAATTTTATCGGCTTTTCTTGGAAAAAAAAACAGGGTGAAACAGATTACACAGGGAAAATCAAAGCACCAGGTTAGTTTGATTGAAGTAGCAAACTCAAAATCAGCGGGTTAGTTTTTGAAAAAAAAAGAATCAGTTTCCCAAAAACGGGCAAAGTTTCCAAAAATTGACATTTTCTATGGCCATATTTTTTCAAAAAACAGGATATAGCCGCTTACACAAGGAAGTTTCGCATAAATGTTTTCATCTCTTTCGGTTTAACCCTTTATCTCCGATTTGGCAGGGTAGTTTTAGAGAAAAGTCAGTCTCAAAAAATAACAAAAGTGTCAAAAAATGGGCTTGATTGATGCCACAACTTTTTTTCTACCGATTGTAGCCGCCTGAGAAGGGAGATCGCCATGATTTGTTTTTTTTAATTGAAACGTTCATCTCAGTTTTGCGCATTTAATATTTGAGGAAATGAAAAACAAATAGTTCAAAAATCCCCTTCCGAAATTTTCGAAGACCGTAGAACGTGTGGCAAAACAAACAGAGACTAGCAAAAGAAGCAGGCAGATAAAAGAGCAACCACTATGTCCATTGGTACCACTTTGTTGCAAAACCTCAGTAGTTTTTGAGAAAAAAAATGAAAATTCTGCCAAAAAAGTACAATAATTTTCCAGAGCGTCGCAAAAAAAAACAAGAAACATCAAATCCCATACATTTTCATAATACATGTTGTTTTCAACAGGACCTTAAACTAGCTGAAAATAAAGGCAGCACGTGCTATTAAATTGACAATGCTTAAATAGACTTGAATAGGAATAAAGTGAAATATACCAAAAGTGTCACCAATTAGCATTTTATTTGTGACTTAGGTTGAAAAAAAATTTCTTCGAAAAATACACTACACTGCGCTTGTGTAAATAAGTCCGTGCGTTGGTATTTCGGTACTTTTTCGGGAGTTTAATTATACCTTTAAAAATATCACCTGGTACTTCTGCTTCAGACGAACTGATGGAAAAACTGGTGGCGAAGGCAAGGTACGAGCAATCAAGACACCATCCACGCGAACTGTACTGGTGAAAAGACAGTTGGAAATCAAGATAAGCGAAGGCAAAACACCGCAGAACAATACCAATAACTTAAAACGTGCAAAAGGACTGGCTAAGAAGGATTCGTCAAAAATGCAGTTTAATGTTAAATTATTTCTCAATATATGTCAAACTTGCTCCTATTTTGATTAATTTCCTGCCAAGCTTTACCCAAAAATGTTACATGAATGTTCACCAATTTCAAGGTTAGCCACAAAGTGTACATCATAACATCATTGATCAATGAATTTTGAAATGAGGCATTAAACGAGCAAATAAATATGTAACATATCCACTAGTATTTTCTTACCCGGCGATTTGAGAAGAGCGACAACTGAAGTTCTATTTCTACCAGGTAAGTGTAGCTCACTCGTTAAATGGGCAAAAGAGAGTGTTTTACCGCCACTAAAACTAATATTCAACTTTTTCCAGTAAGAATTGTACGGTAAATGACTAGGCAACTCGCACGGTAATTTAGAAATAATCTTTTCATTATCAATTTTGACAAGGCAATTCAAATTTCGAGACTCTTTTGGCCAAACGTCAGGAATAATTTTGGAAAGCTTAGACCATGAAATTGTTTTCAAAAACGTGCCGTGGTCTTGTTTCGGGTTTGAAAACATATCTGTGTCGAAAATATCTTCAAAAGCTGTCAAAGAAATTGAGCCAAGTGGCGCAACGGGGTAGTAATGTATGAATGGCATCAGTACTATGGTGAACCTGAACTCCTCGGCAAACTTCATAGTTCCCAGAAGATGATCCAGCTGGTTTCCAAGGCGCCCCGAGCAGGGACAATAAAGAACAAAGCGTTCACAACATGCAAATGATAGTAGATAAAGACAAAATAACAAAAACAACATTCTCATGTCATCTGAAATTCAACATAATCTGGACAAGTATATTGGAAATTCAAGTATACCGGAAAACTACTTAATTCAAATCTGCAATTTTTCAAAGGAAAAAGGATAGGAGACCTCATATATGCAACAATAGTTGCGATTTGGGAAAAGCGACGACTAAATTTCAACGAAACTCAACTCACCGGATCCCAGCATTCGACAACAACCCATACATTTTCTGAATGCTTTTTTTTAGTGTAGATTCTAAAATCTGATTTGAAAAATGGTGAAAACTAACAAAAAATACAAGCATATTTTCACGTTATTTCAGAGCTGTGGAAAATGCAACGCTTTAATACGGTACAGTGTGTTTCGCTCACGCCACATAAACCCGACGAGGTAACGTGACTGATCTTTGGCTTATAGAATCGGCGGCGACTGCTTTTGACGCGGACCAGTACTGAAGTTATGGACTTTTTTATTCTCTTCGATGAATTGGTGAACGGGTTCCAGGCAAGCCAACACGAGTGTGCGCATCGACGTGCGTGCGTGCGTCATGTAGTTATGCTTGTGTAGTTATTTCAATTAATCTAATTAATTATAAATTAACATTGATTTAATTCATCGAATAAAATAAAGGCGTCCATGACTAATCAATGCGTGTTTTAGTTGTTCACATGCCACTGACTTAATTCATTCTCGTTCATGTCGATTTTCACGTTTCAAAAAATCAACGGTATTTCAAATGAAAATTACAGTGCTGATTTAAATTATCCGGACAAAACAAACAAAACTTGAATTTTCAAACGCGTTTTTCTCAAATTGGGTTAAGATTAGACAAAAAGTGAAGAGAACAAAAGTTGCTTAGAATTTCACCAGAATTAATATGGTGCCATTTTTTCTCCGAAATTCTCAACAAAAAATTTACCCCAAAAATGGGTCATTTTGGCTTTTTTCAATTAATCAAGAATTACGCTGATACTATTTTGTTAATTGATAAGAAAATTATATCACAGGAAGCCCCTTACGCAGCTCAACAAAGTTTAAGAAGGGCTCAATCTCCAAAAAATTTGCGCAAATTGTTTAAAATTTATTTTTAAACAGATTCTGGATTTTATATAGTGAAAATCACATTTATTGACAATCAAGTGAATTTTTTTTCTCTTATACTGGTTTTTTGGAGATTTAACCCTTCTTAAACTTTGTTGAGCTGCGTAAGGGGCTTCCTGTGATATAATTTTCTTATCAAATAACAAAATAGTATCAGCGTAATTCTTGATTAATTGAAAAAAGCCAAAATGACCCATTTTTGGGGTAAATTTTTTGTTGAGAATTTCGGAGAAAAAATGGCACCATATTAATTCTGGTGAAATTCTAAGCAACTTTTGTTCTCTTCCCTTTTTGTCTAATCTAAACCCAATTTGAGAAAAACGCGTTTGAAAATTCAAGTTTTGTTCGTTTTGTCCGGATAATTTAAATCAGCACTGTATTGTTTGGAAGCGTTTAAAATTCTTTTGGATCCATTGCCAACTTAAATTTTAGTTTTCACGAAATAATTTTACAGATTCAAACTCAAGGGGCTTTCAAATCATGAAGATTAAAATCATTAAGCCGGCAAAAAAAAAACAAATTATATCTGAAATTTTGTGCGACTCAAAACAAAAAACGCTCAGTTTCGAAAAAAAATTATAGCCAATCGAAGATTGGAAAAGAGTAATAAACGCAAGTAAACATAAAAAATACTGACTTTCTTGAAAAAATGGCTCATTTCGAATTTCAAAGAAAAAAATAGATGCCCTTTAAGCTCTTTGAATTTCTAGAACAATTTATGATTGGCGCTTCTTTTGATAACATGAACCCAGCTTGAGAAAACTGGATCTATAGGAAAAGTTTTTATTCCGCTGGGAAATCTTAAAAACAATTTCGACTTCCTCTTAAAAGTCGAAAAACATCCACCAGCCTTTATAAAAAATTCTTATTATCATTTACCGAGCAGCCGACGCAACTTGCGAAGACGCGCACTGATGCAAGAACAGAAAAAATACCAAAAAAAAACAGTTGGCCTAAATAGATTTAGGCAATCAAATTTTAAGAGTTGTGACTTTTACGCCACAACATAGTATATTTACAAATTACAGAAATAAACCAAAAAAAACAGAGAATTACAATATAAATCAAAGCAGAAGCAAAATACGCCGAAAAAACATAAGCAGAAAAAAAAAGACCGACAATAAAAAAACAGAGGTCATAGCTAGACTCGAACCAAAAATCTTAGCCATCCCAGGCGCAGTCGTTAACTCTAAGCCAAGTGTGCTGAAGATAAAAAATTTGAATATATTATAAGCCACTCTATCAAATGATTCAACTGACTTTGGTAAACCATTGATGTTTTTTTTTCAAACAAAACACAATTGCTGATCTTCAATTTTTTCAGCAAGTTACAGTAATAAACCGATGAACTTCATATATCAACGATGAAATATAATCAACTAATCTTAAAGAAAATAAATTTATCTGGACGCCGTGGCCCAGTTTACAAGGATTCAAAAATTCGCTGTCACAGTTTGGAATCTCTTCGGAATATATTTTGCCTTGTATGCTTGTTCTTTTCTTCATAAGATACGGTTAGATTGCCATGTTTAGTTCTTAGTTCACATAATTTATCATTTCAAACCTTTTATTGATGTGGTACAGAAACTTAATGATAATTTATATAACTATATTTTAAACTGACATACTGGCAGTTTCGCAGCACGGAACAAGGAAAAGTAACACAAGAGATATACTCAAAATCAAAAGTTCTTCAAGTTTTCTAGCTATACCGAAGGTAGCAAACAAAATGGGAACGGTTTAAAATTAATTACTTTTTGATTTAAATTAAACTAAATTCCGTGAAATTGGCAGAATTCTGGCTTACGTCTAGTTTGCAGAGTGGTATAGTTGAGTTCTAAACATTTTTACTTACTGTTCAGACTAGATGTCGCACAAATCAGCCATCGAGCACAACTTTGTATTTCTTTTTCGGACATTTATGTGGGCCCAGACTAATTTCAACAGAAAGTAATAACGTTAACCGACAAGGATGGCAAATGCCGTAACATTCCATCTCCTCAACTTGTTCGAATCGTGATGCGACATTTCGTATTATACGACAATTAGAAGTGAGCGACAATTCGCAACGGGCGACAGTTCGCAACAGGTGACAATTCGAAACTGGCCAACACGGATTAACTCGCACTATTCCTGCCGTGAAAAATGTAAGAGCAGCGGAGTAAGCGGTGGTTACTTGCTATGCCTTGTTACAAATGGTCGGGTGTGTTTTAGTTTTTTTGTTTGCCATGCATAATCATCAGAATGCGCCGACTGATATATCATATTAAACCCCTTTCAGTCGTGCTTCGAACAACATTAAAATATTTTCTTAACTCAAAGTCGAGAAAAACTGGTTTGAAGTTTTTGAGATTTGATCTAAATTCGACCGAGGAACGCGATCGAGTAATGCATGTTATATGGAAATTTACTGTCTTTTTTTAAAGACTTTTAGGATAAAAACCTAAGTTTACTGTGAAAAAAAGCAAGTTTTACATGTTCATTTAGTGCTCATTTGGCGAAATATGCTTTCTAAAAAAAAATAATTTAATTGCAAATTTAGAAAAAAAAAACAATTTTGTAACAATTTTTTATTTCATTTTTTGTTTATTATTCATTATCTGAAGACAAATGTTGTCGATCATTCCTAATTTACTAATTTTCTACGCGATCATATAGTTCTCGAATGACACCACCCTCTAAATACGACACTTATTTGAAGTAAAAAAAAAATCAGAACCAAATTTGACACACTGGTTGGTGAACAGCTTTAGCAGTCATTTTCTATAGGCTCTGATCAGCATTGCACCTTCGTTGCACAGTTTGATGGACTTCTTTCATTCAGACTTGCGCTTTAGACTAGCACCGGAGAAAGTGGGAAAGCTAGTTTTCTGCCTACGCGTGCTTTACAAAAATTTAAATCATAATTCATGAATTAATTTTTTCATACTCCAAGTTGTACCGCTTGAGTCTTTTATGGAGTTCTAAAACATTGCTTTGAGAAGATAAGGTGTTTTAAACATATTTAAAACGCTGATACGTTTTTTTTGGAAAAACTGCCTTATTTTGCCAACACTTCAACCTTATTTCAGCACGCCATTGGCTTATTTTGCCTTATTTCAGCACGCCATTGGCTGTTTGCCATCAGTGCTAGTATCGTGGTTTATTCCACAAAGAAACCCATGCTGGCAAAGACATGACCTTTTACAGACATGTCTGATTAATTGTTTTCTTCTATTACTGGTTTATTCTTTTTCTCAAATCTAAAAACAGAGTCGAAGCAGTTTCGCACTACTTGCGATACAAACACAAACATAGCATGACAAAAACTAGCTCTCACAAATTGATACGAAAGCCGAAAAAAATTGTTGAAATGACAATAAAAGCTGCGTCTACAAATTTCAAGAAAAATATCATGTCTCCCAATTTGTCCTGAATAAGAAAATTGAATTTGAAATTTGCATCGGAACAAAACTTACGAAATGGTTGAAAAATGCCGTCAATTTTTGCCTCCTCCCAAAACTCAAACGCACTTCAAATTAGTTTCGGTCATCAAACGGCGTAATATGCGGCCAATAAGCCAATCAGATTTAATGTTCACAAAAATCTTCCGAAATAGTATGCGTATTAAATCTGTGCACTATAATTCTTATTTAAATCAAACTAAACACCGGCAAAAATCTTATAACCAATGGTGCCTTAGAAATGGCATTCAGAAATTTAAAAGAAAGCTGAACCTATATAAGCAGAAGAACATTAGTCCGAAAAGCAGAAAAATTTTAGATTAAAAAAAGGTTCCGGCCGAATTCGAACCACAAGCCTTCTTCGTCTCAAGCATATGTATTACATATGTATTACCTCTACGCCAGATGCTGTGAATTGTTGCAATTACATATGCAGTCATGCCATACTAGCTAATTAGGTTCAATTTGTTCTACACTTAGACCCGTTCTGCTCTTGGGCCATTATTCTGTTCGATACTCTGCCACTCAACTTACCTGTTATCACCAGCAACTAAAAGAAACCATTTCGTTCGTTTAAGCCCAATACCTCGGTTTCTTCTGCTTCCTGCGTTTCTTTGCAAATGAAAAACTGAAAGATTTAAATTTCAACTAACCATTTAACTAAACTAAACTGGATTTAAAACAAGAACACGAATAAATATTATACTATTTTAGGGTCACATTAGCCAATAAAATCTGCCTATTTGAGGTCAATTTGAAATTATCCCGCAAAAAGTTAATTGAAACGAGAATCTTACAAAACTGCATCTTATATTCAGGTCAATTTGGAGACAATGATTGCGTTTTATATCACAACTGAAAACCTCTGGAAATTTGACAGAGTTACTACTACGAAGGATACAACACTTAACGAATGAATGCTCTTTAGAAAATATAGCACCAATAGTTAACATTATTAACTGACTCCTATATGAAAAAAAATCGAAAATCGAAAATTTTGAATGGAAAGCTTTTAAAAGGAGGTTCGTAAAGAGATAGACAAATGCATGGATAGAAGTAAGCTCAACAATAATCAATAAATCTTCACAAAAATCGATAAAGATTGCCAGGTCTAAATGGTAAATTACCTCGAACTTACATCCGATTAATATAATTTAAACCACCAATTTACACCTTAAAATACTGCGTCTAACCTTTTGCGATAATTTTTAGGGCTATTGTACTACAACATGCGGCAAGCTGATTTCAATTTGAGCTTGAATTAGTGTTCGATTTACTTTTTCCCTTTCCCGAGTTATTTCGTATCATGCTCTCATTGTTCGACTTTTTGTGACTCGCTTCTTCAACTAATCCGTCGTCCTCTCCACTTGACATCATACTCAACGTGTTTTCTATCTCGCTTTTGAACTTGGTCAACATTGTATCTACAAGCTGATCGCCAACTTGTCCGCCTTCGTAGACAAAAAAGAAGCGGGTGCACACCAAATCCGGATTACTGCAAACCCAGACGTTCTGGAACTTTTGAAGATGTGTTGAGGAGTTGACAACTTCACAAAGTGCAATACAGGTTATGTTTTTCCCTGAAATAAACCTCGATTTCTGACCGGGAGCCGTTTTTGAGGATACTGCACCTACTGGCAAATCAGTTCCATTGTACTCTCCATGGCCGCAGTTTGAGTACCCATACGATACCGAAGACAAAGGTGAGAGGTAAATGCCTCTTCCATAAGCCGCACCATGTACTTGATGTTTAGTGCCCGTTCCGACAAGCAAACCTCCTCGTAAAATTGAATGCCAGTTTTCTATAAGACTTCCGTGAAACGCAAAGTAACTGCCTTGCATTTCAGTTTTCTTCGCCTCTTGAAAAATTGCTTCTTTACTCGGCGGGCTGCTCAGGAGTAGAAACTGGTGAGGTGTATGCATAAATGAGAGTTGAAATCTTGAGGGAATCTTAACAATATGACTGCGGTTGGACATTACTAGCCATGATACTAATGGATATAAACATGGATCTGATTTATACAGCTTCTGTTGAAAATGCTGCGAATCTATGAACTCCGAAAAACCTATTTCTTCTATTTTTTCAAAAAGTGATTCTAGCAATGCAAAATTCTTTCGTTTTGGGGTTAGCACAAATTCTTTTGGGTTGTTTGGGTCAACTACTATAGGGTAGGGGTCGAATATGATTTCACGTCTTTTTGATTTCAGGGCCGCTTTGGCTAACGCGACTAGAAGGTCTGTAACTTCGGCTCCTGTAGCTAACGAGTCGGTTGCATCATTCATCACTCCCATTTGCTGGAACGAGAAGCAACACAGTTCTCGGCTACATACTGAAGGTTTAAGCATGTACTGCCATTCTGCATTTTGAAAAACATGCGGCTCGTCGCAAATGACACAAAACTCATTAATTGATACGATTCTATTTTTGACGTAAGTATAGACCTGGTTTAGCAGTCCATACTCCAAAGGCGGCACCTCTTTAGCTTTCAAACCGTCTGCACTTAGATTGACCAGACTCAAACTTAGCTGTTTATTGTAAGCACTGGCTGAGCTATCCGATCGGGACAGCAATCTCACAAAAACTCCCAGCATGTTTTTAAGTTTCGTAGACTTTGGCGATGAACTGTTGTTTAAAGATGGCGAGGGCGATTTATTGCTAGATGAAGTATTGCAATTTGGAGATGAAAAACTGGGAGTAGTTTTACTAGGCGAGCCATCATTTCCGTTGTTCTCCAGGCCTCCCTTATCGATTAGAAAACTAGCTGCTTCACTGACACTTTCTCCACACTGCTTAAGCGCTGCCGAAACTTCCGATTCAGGAAAGCCCAAATTCAAAAGTTCTCTTAAGCTACCACATTTGCATTTAGTTAAGTGCTCGTTTAAAATGCGTTCTAGACTCCTATTTGCAAGTAAGGGCCACATATTACTGAAGTACTTTTCCATGATCTTTTCCAACTGTCTTCCAACTGGGAACTTGACAGAAGGTCCGTACTGGTGGATAATTGACACCCTTGGTGGCAGGCCGTCCAGAAACAACATATTGTGAAAGACCAGTTTAAGCAGAATGTATTCATTTGGTTTAAAAAACCACGCCGATGCTATCGAGGCGTCTAGAAAGTCGATGTCAATTTTCATAGTTACCGCCGCCATATCTGTAACTTCAACCTCCACGATACTATCGGTGCCGTACTGCTCTTGGAAATGTTTGATCTCTTTCGCCAAAAGCGGGTGCAAAATTTCCTCGTCACTAACAGTATCATTGGCCGATGAAAGAATTATTTCATCTGTCTCAAATGGTTCGAAATCTTCGTGATTTTGACAGCTTTTTCCAGAAACATTTTGGACATTTCCATTTTCTAAGCCTGCAACGTGCAGTATCTTAGGGTCTGTATCGTGGCTGAATTTAACGGGGGTAATATGTCCATTCTGTAACCGCTGGGAAGCTTCTTCGGTTTCAAATTCAACTTCAAAGTTTTCTTCCATTGCAACTGGAACTACTGCAGTGTTTGTTCGTTTCAGGAAGAAATTGGTCGTCGAGTTCTTGTCGCTGTGAAATCCCCGGGAATTGAAAATGGAACTCATGGCGAGGTTGTTCGAGTCGCCGCTAGCCAGCAATTTCTGAAGAACAAGAAATAAATGATAAACATGTAGTATTGTTGAGCACCGATAAACTGTACAAACAGATTGGAAGCTCATTTTTCTCCTAGTAAACGCGTCGGAAATACGGGAAAAGTTTTAGAGTCATTTTCTGGACATAAAGGCAACCTTTTTGATTTTCTCTAGGAATCCAAATCATGATCAATAGGGTTTAAACATGTTAACGCTTTTGAACCCCTTGAATATTTTCTTGTGGTACCTAAAAGTGGACGAAAAAACCCTTAGCCTCAGCCACCAGCTCCTTCTAACCCCTCTGCAGTAAATTTGATTAACAAAATCGATATTTACAGAGGGAACAAATAATTCAAAATGTCATAGGAATTTGATACGCTTAAACGTCCGGTTAAACCTTCTCAAACCATTTCATCAACTTGGCAAATTTCTTTCAATATATTCTGAAGCAGTTTGAACCATTTTCTACTCAAAAAATCCAATGAAATTGATAAAATCAAAATCTACATATGACACTAATTGACAATGCCGTTCAAATTTAAAACGGAAGGTATGATAATCTATTGCTGCAAATCAAGAGAAACTTAACAATAACGCAATGAAAAAAATCAACTTTAGTTTGACAGCAAGTAGAAATCAAGCGGAAATTTTGAACCAATACAACTTACGTGGTGATTTTAATTTCACCTCTGACAAAAAAAAGAATCGAAAACTAGGAAGCCGACAAAACAAAAAATCCGCAAAAAAAATAATTATCTCAAATCTTTGTGAAACTCGGATGATTGAAATTTTTTTGATAAAAGTAACCCAATTTGAGCAAGCTAGGTCAACAGATGGTTTTTAAATTTCGCTGGGAACACTGAAATTGAACTCTATTTTTGAGCAATTAGTGATTCGCGTTTTTTGGTGCTCGTCTTTTCGAAATTGTAGAGAGCAAACTTGTAGAGCGCAATTTCTTTTTATTATAAATATGAACTGAACTTGAAAATATATCAAAAGTCTAGTCGCGAAAAACTCAAAGACTTTTTCCCGAGTCTTTTTCTGTTCGGTAAGTTGTTCATCTGCGCTCCTATTTCATATTTATATTTGAAGCTCTCTCAATTTCAATTTACTCGTATGATTGATACACGTTGACTCAACTGATCATTTTAGTAAAACTACCGTATAAGGATTACTGTTTTTATGAAACTATACGATGCATATAAAAAAATTAAGTTAACATCATAAAACTGCAAGGAATCAACAACAACCGCAAATCTAAATAAATAGCCACGTCTTCTTTGATTATTTTTGATTGCTCTTTTTAATTATTTTTGCCTGTCCCAATTTATGCTGACTGGCCAAATGAACTTTCTTTGTCCCGTGACTGTATCATATCTTCAACCTTCAAGTCTCATTCGATGAGAAATGCCTTTTAAGAAACATTAAAACAACACTTACCGACATAGTTTTTGTGGCTGCCATCGTTTGATTAGTACAGCAAGAAATATTTTGTTTTCGTTCACTGAAATGTGCGTGACCTTGCTTTTAATCATTCCTGATCGACAAAGATGATCTGAACTGAGACAAACATATGTTTTCTGAAATGGAGTAACTTCTAAAAAAACAAAAATGAGACGCTATTTCAAATTTGATCACCAGATGTTCCACAAGCACACCATCGCTGAAACTTCAAATAATGAATAAGGTATAAATTACGTTGAGCAAATACTTGGCTGTAAAAAAAAATATTTGGCTTGCTGGTTTGAGGCCCACAAATATATCAAAATTTCGACTGACCACCAACGATTCCCCTTTAAAACCCGTTTTCCATCCGATTTTGGCAAACTAATTGCGATTAAAAAAATGGTTCCAGAATTTTCTGGACAAAAAATCATTTTCTTGTCTAGTGGGTCCAGGATATACTACATGCGCATTTAGGAGGTCGATTATGATTCTATTATTATTTTGAGCAACAACCCGTACAATTTTTAATATTATGTTTTATTCCGGCAAGTTATCAAACATTTTAGATAATTAAAGAGCCAAATAAAAACTAAAATGGTAAGTTTGCCGATCTTATGAACTAGAAGCTGAAAAAGAACAACTGAAAAATAAATACAAATTGAAAACTATTTCTGCATTTAAACAATCATTTTGGCAGTTGACCGAGAAAACTAAGATAGCAGCTGATTAAGATCAACTTTCTGAAACATTTCTTGCCAAGTGGCTAGTAACTGTAAGCTTCCGTTCATTCGAGTTATTTAAAATAGCTTCATTGAATTCAGATTGTTTTTCATTATTAGCACCCACGAACCCGACTGGAAACGAATAGGAGTTAGTTCCCCAGCAAACTTCCGTTTCTTCGTCTTCAAAAGCTCGAACACAAATAGCTGCTGCACATTTCGCATCAAGTCCACTAATCTTTTCAAAACACCTTTCAAACACAGGTGCCAGAAGTTCCTCTGAGTCAACTGAATTGCTTAAAATCGCTTCACAGAGTCTAGAACTGAATTGCTTCCAGATCAAAAACTCTCCTTCGCCAGAACAAGAGACTGCGATTCTGCAATTTCCTTTTGTTTCAGCCCAGCATCCAGCACCATACATTGCAGAACTACCGACTCTACCTGGCTCCTTCAGAATAATCCCGCCACTCGAAGTTCCAGCACAAACAAGACCAGACTTATCTACAACTACAGCACCGACCGTTCCGACTCCAAGCATTCGTTTGCATAACGGCTCAGCGTCAAATGAAACATCTGTTTTTCTTTTGACCTGTAATTTAAGTGCTTTCTGATAAAAGTTCAGAGCATCGTCAGTTATCAGTTGATTACAGGTTGAGAAACCCACTTTTAAACACCAATCCGATGCGCTCTCTCCTGCTAAAAAGCAAGCCGGTAATAGGTCTGAAAAAATTCTGGCTTTTCTTTGAAGGTCCAGAAGCTTTCTGGCAACTAAAATTGGGTTCTTGAATCCCGGCAGTGCACCGACACTTCCAAATAAAAGTGGCTCACTCATCATAACAGTTGCGTCTAATTCAACTGTGCCCTGATTGGTCAGATTTGCACCAATCCCAGCATTCGTCAAAGGAGAATCTTCTAGAAGCTTACATACGTCACAGCAAACATCCAATGCTGTTTGCCCACCAGAATTCAGCTGCCTTTGAGCCTCGGAAAGAGTTGAGTCCAGAAGAATTTGAGTTTGATTTCGAAATTCTGAATCGTAAAATCCCACCCCGCAGTGTATGGCGATAGCAGGAGCAAACATATTTACTTCGGAAATGAGAAAAATTCATTTCTCCTGAAATGGTCGCAAAATCTTTAAAAACAGCTTTTTCCTGCAAATTCTTTTCACCTCATCAGTTTCTTTAAGGTCACATCTATCTTTTAACCTTGAGTCAGAAAACCAGCGTTCTTCAAAAAAAAATTCAAACTAGTTATCGGAGCGCAAAAAGTGAAATGCGAGATGAATTTTAAAAAAATTATAACACAGAGGCGAAGCAGAGCTTCGCATCACTAACAACACAACCGGAAAAAATATCGAAAAAAAGTTCGAAACTGCCAAAAAAAACTAGATGTATCAAAATGAATAAAGCTAGCTTTGAAAAAACATGACAAGACATTAGAATGTGAAATTAGCATCGGAAGAAAACTTAAAAAGCGGTTAAAAAGCCAGGAGTACCTGATCAGAAAACCATTTCAGCCGAAAAAAATCAAAAAGACAATGAAACTAATCAGACATATGCCCTCCCCCTAGAAACACCGACACACACACAGGAACAATTTCTTCGGTTATCAAACGACGCAACATAAGGCCACTAAGCCGATAAAAAATAGGCCATCATTTGGACAGATTAAATACATTCAAATTCAAGGTCAGTAAAATCACAATTAGCAGAAGTTAATAAAAACACTAAACGCAATTATAAGGCAAATTGCATACAAAAAAAAACATTCTACGATGTAGCAACTAAGCTGACAAAACATAAGCAGACAAATGATGAGCCGTCAATTTTTTTTGAAACAGAGAAAGACAGGTCTACAAGTTTCTAACCCAAGACCTTTGTCGTCGCAGGCGTCATTCAGACCGAGTGTGCAGGCGACGCAAAGAAATCTGAAATCAATACGAACTGAACATAAATTTATCATTGCTAATTTGGCCGTTCTGTGAGCAAAGTTATTTACAGTAAAAAAAATTTAGAAGTCGGTTAAAATACATTTGCTATCGAAAGTGTAACACAGAGGCGAAGCGGAGCTTTGCACTACTTGCAATAAAACAGACATCAAAAACATACGCTGAAAATAATGAAAAAAAAACTAGGTGAATCAAAATTTTAGCGAGTCTCGATAAAAGGTAATTAGGGGTCCAATTAAAGCTGTAGATATATGTTTGTTTTTTTTTTGAAATTTTTGTATTGCTGCAAAATGAAATAGGCAATTTAAAAATTGGACCATGCCCAAAACCTTAGTTGTTTCTCCTCAAAAACTTTCCCAAAAATGTAATCTTTTTCTTACAAATTCTGGTACCCTTTCTTCGGACCGAGTTCTTCATGTCAGATTGGATAGGATAGTCTTTAAGAAGAGTAAAAAAACGTTCAAATATTCAAAAATTGAACTTCCTAAATCCCTAACATGTTTTCTGCAAAAAATAGGTCGTGGCCGCTTAAGCAGAGAAATTTTGCAGGATCAGTTTCCCGATTGATTACTTAACCTGAGAATTGGCAGGGTAGTTATCGAGAAAAGTCAAAAAGTTTCCAAAAACGGTCAAAGTTTCAAAACCTCGACTTTTGAAGACCATAAGAAATCAAGATTGGCTGGCTTTACAATTATAAAAGTAGGCTTTCCAATTAGTCAAAGTAGGAGTAGCCAATGACAGAGGTATGCTTTAAATAACCTCTTGTTTCAATAAGAGGATTCACGCATACTGTTATTTAGATTGAATCCAACAACTCAGACGTGAGGGGGTAGTTTTCGAGAAAAAAAAAATAATAGCTTCAAAAAAACTGCTAGAAAATCAAAAATTTGACTTTTCCGAGTGCGATAACTTTGTGTTAAAAAAAAGTAGTAATCACTAAAGCACACGAGATTTCCTCTACACTTCATCATCATTGATCCCACAGTCTCAGATGGGGTTGGTTCTCGAGAAAAGTCAAAAAGATTCAAAAAACATTCAAAAAATCAAAAATCTGATTATTTCGAGGGCAATAAATTTTGTATTAAAAAATTTGGGCGTAACCAATTATGCTGGGGAGCTTTCCGCTACTTGTTTTACCCATTGAAACCAAAATCTCAGATTCAGTGAGGATGTTTTTGAGAAAAGTCAAGAAAGTTTCAAAAAAACGTCCAAGATCGAAAAATTGACTTTTCCGAGAGCCACATCTTTTTGTTTCAAAAAATTTGAACGTGACTTTGTATGCAAGAGAGTTTTTCCTAACTCGATCACCCATTCAACCTAAAATCTCAGATTTGGGAGGGTCGTTTTTGAAAAAAAAACAAAAAATTTTCAAAAAACGGTCAAAAATCGAAAACTTTACTTTTTCTAGGGTCATCACATTATGTGTAAAATTTTGGACATAGCCGCTTATGAAGGGAAACTTTATAAAAACCCGTATTATCCATTGAAATCAAAACCTCAGATTTAGAAGCGTAGGCTTTGAGAGAACGAAAAAAAATCCAAATATATGGGTCAAATATCCCCCCCCCCCCCACAGACTTTTACGAAGGCTGCAGACAATGAAGTAAAGAAAAAAAAGACTACAAAAAAAGAGACATGTGAGTAGGCAATCTCTCTATTGATGCCACTCTTTTGAAAATCGAGGGGGTAGTTTTTGAGAAACATAAAAGTTTTGCAAAAAGTGATCAAAATTTCCGAACCGTCTCAAAATTTAAAAGAATCCAATCCTATACATTTTCATAGTACCCTTTTTAATCCACAAGGTTTTTAAGCCAGCATGTCAATCAGAAATTATGAATTTTTAATTAGCAACGGAACAAAATTTACGAAGCGGAAACAAAGCCGAAAATCTTTGCACAGACAAGTTGAGTAGAAAAAAGATTTAAAAAAACTTCAGAAGATTCAAGTCCCTCTGAGACTACAATAAACAACAGTCACAACTAAAATGATTCTTGCTTATAGCACATGAAAAATCCGTGATGTGGTACCTAAGCCGACAAAATTTGAGCAGACAAACGAAAGTCCTACAATAGTTTTCACAGGAAATTTTTTTTTCAATTTCATACATACTGAAAAAAATAAAGGTCCTACCGGGACTGCAAAATCAACCGCGTTATCCCAGGCCAAGTGGGAAAAGGTCTCGAAGCTGCTAAGGTTCACTAATAAAACAACTTCACAATTTCTTAGAAATGTGTAAGAAAAGTTCTTTACGGGAAAAAAGTCTAGCTCCCGATTTCAAGACACCTGCTCTCGCGTAATTGTAATAATAAAAGTGTAATAATAAAAGAAGACCTCGAAATTCCGAAAACAACCTGAATTAAAAGAAATCATTTCACATAAATAATATGTTCTATTGATCCTGGTTGAGTTTTCAAAAAAAATGTCATTATTATGGAGATGCATCTCATGATTTAAAGTTCACTTCCCAGTGTTTTTGTATTTCTAAAACTGACACGATATTACCTGAATTGTGTAATACAGTAACTCAGAAATATTTGTGACAAAACGTTTCACAGGGTCAAATTAAATTGAACTACGATAAATTCCCGCTCAGGTATATTTTGACCATTTGTTTCGAAAATTATGATCATGTTGAGTATATTCATCATTAATACCTCTATCTACTCGAAAGAAAATGTTATCAAAAACACAAAATAGAAGCTTTAATTTTGATTCCATATTCAAACTGAGATCAACCCAATTAACATTGCGAATTAATTAAATTTAAAATGAAGCAACTGTACAAAATTAAATATTCATAAGAAAGAATCGAAAATGCATCTCTATTTAACAAAGCATTTTATAAAACTCAAGATAATACGAAAAAATCAAACTTACACATAGATAGCTCTCTGAAATGCTTCAACCATGACAGGTCACGAAACAATTAACCTTAAATATCAATGCATAAACATAGTGGGTTGTGTTGCTTCATAACATGGCTAAATCACCTGCAGAGAATTTTTGACAATATCCATTACTTCATGCAGGAGAACCTGATATCAAATGTTAAATCATGTATCAGGTTGATAGTTTTTAGGAATGTAATTTTTAAGGCTTTAATTGACAATCGGTTTTTTGATATTGTCTATTTTCTACGAAAGCATCTGATTGATTCACTTTGCCGATATTCAGCATGGTATAAATTTTCAATCATAGACAACTACGCACAAATTCATTCCGCTCGAAACAAAAATGAACGTAATTATTTCACTCTTAAAAATGTTCACGTATTTTCACATGAGCAATGCTCACGTGTTTCGTATTTCAAGTACACTAGCGCGCAAAATTAAGCGCAAACTCACGTTTTTACTCTCTTAAATGCCTTTTTAATGACCATTTAGGGCAATATTTACTGCGAACATCAGCAACATTCTTACATCGACCGAGAGCAAATGTTCAAGCTCATGATCTATGAGTAGAAAAAGTACCTAAAATCAACAATCTAACAAGCAAGTTGTTATCATTAACTCGCGTTTTGATCCACGGCAGGAGGATAATGCACTAAGATAAAATCTCAATGATGAAGTGGGTCAATCCGAGACTTTTGTAGCCTAACAAGGTATCAGATAAATGCTTGGAAAAAGTCATTCAACTCGAAAAAAGTAATCATTGTCGGAGATTCCCATTTGAGCAAATTTGCGAACAATACGGAAAACTAAGGCCACAGGAGGGGACAAAAGAGCCAACTGGCAATCGTGACAAGATAATTTAAGAGACGCGAGGCAGGATAATGATTTTTTAAGTTATTGGCGGGAACAATGCAACTGACCATCCCTCAAAAATGCATGCAATAATTACTTTAGCCCAGAAGTCTAACTGCTTTCCAGAAATCTCGACTTTTTGCTTCCCTGGATTTGAACGCCTCCCCGATATTTCCTGTAGAAATTTCGGATGTTCGAATCCGGACAAACATAATACTATATTTGTAAACTGGCTTTCATTACTACCACATTGGAAACAATTTCGGTAACGACACCGAGGTTGTGTGATATTAGGGAAAAGAGAAAGTGTATATTAAAATGGGTATTGTTTGTGACACGAGTTTCTAAATACTATTAATAGTTTTAACTGAGCACTGGGAGACTTAATAAATTAAGTTTTTAAATTTGAGATGTAGAAAATTGAGA